AGGTATTTTTAACTGTAAGTATTTCTATGGCTAGCGATGGCTAAATGGTTTAGAACAGGCACAAGGCTCCCGGAGTCAGCCCTTGATTCATCTGAGTGTCACTGAAGGTCCATAGCAGAAGAGAATGAATTCCTTTCATTTTCACTGTGGCAGAATTGGGAGCACAGGAAAAACCAGGAAGGGTCAGGAGGCCTGTGCACACCTAAGCGGTGAGACCCTCAGTCAGCAATCTGGGGGTCCAGAAGGCATACCTTTTAAAATATCCATGGAGGAGGATCATGGGGCCAGTGAAGTAGTGTGAGCAACTGTGTTGGCCAGCAAAACTGTCGTCGAGCCAGCGAGGTGTGCTGCGCACCTGCGGTAGGTCTTGGTTTCCTGTGTGGCCAATGTCCTCAGCCTCTGTGCAGAGCATCCTGTGGCTCCAGAGGTACTGTCCTGGTAAGGGGAGTTTCCAGGTGACAGGAGGCAGGGGTTGCATGTCCCTAGAGCTCGGGGACACCCCTCGCACCTCCCAGCATTGGTGAGGCCGGGTATTCTTGGTTCCTGGGGTCATCCTGGTATCATCCACTTCCTGTGGTGGCCTATGGAGGCTCCCTGGATTCCAAGCAGGCAGGGGAGTGTGCCCTGGAGCAGCCGTGGTGGTGTCCTCCATCCTCTCCTGACTGTCTGTTCCTTCTGCCTTCACATCAACCCCTGGTGATGCTGTGTCTTGCCACGTTTCCTCCCCATTCTTCTTTTGACCCTCGGGGCTTCTTGGCTTGTCCGTGAACTTGGCTTCTTTGGCGTCGGGACCAGCCAGCATGTCCCTTTGCTCTTTGCTGACCTCACCAGTGTTCCCAGGCTCGGTGCCCACGGGTTGCCCACATTGGGATTCCACAGTGGTGCAGCTATTAGTTGCCGATGTGCTTGTGTACACACAGCTGGCTTCCAGAGCAGAAGGGGAAGTTCCTCATAGGGACATTAGAGCTAATAAATGCAGAAAGAATGACAGAGTTGGAGATAGCATTTTATCTACTCACTTGTTCATCGGTAACTATTAAGGTGGGAGACTTTTTAAAGGAAGGGATGGGGCTGACCCCTTGAGCCTATGGATTGATAGTACATCAGTGGAAGCCAGGCCACCAAATGCTGTACCTCATGGCGTGACACAACAGGGTCACCAGACGTCTCCTGTGGGGCCAGCTTGTGTGGGGCAAGGAGGTGCTGACTGGAGGCAGGGGCGTGTGGCTGCAGGGGGGGTCATGGGCGTGTCCTGGAGGGTGCTTACCTCCCCTCTTTATCTCTGCCTCTTGGCTGCCCTGATCTGGGCAGCTGCCTTCCCCCACACCCTCAGCATGATGGTCTGCCTCAGGCCCAGAGCAAGAGTCAGCTGGTTAAGGACCGACCTCTAGAAACTGTAGGGCAGAATAAGCTCTACACTGTTAGGTATTTTGGTCACAGCAACAGAAAGCGTACTGGTCACATGGTCTCTATTGCAATTAACGAACTCTGCTTCAAACATACTTGTAGATGATATGCACACGATCGTCTGGTTTGTGCCAATAAAACTTTCCTTTCCCAAAAAGTGACTGGGCTGGACCTGGCCCGTGGGCTGCAGCTGCGAACTTCTAGTGTAACAGGAAATACACAACAGCAGCTGTGAAGTGTTCTCGAACAAAACGTTGAACTTACATCAGGCCCAAGTTCACAGTCTCATCACACTTTTTGGGAAATTCGGGGAATAAAGGAACAAGTTAAATGGCATGCAAAATCCTGACTGTGGGACATTTCTCTAGGACAGACGATCTAGCATCTCAACATACGGATGCCTGTAGAAGTGGGGTGAAGGTGTGCCTGTGGGGGCCTGGGGAGTCGGATGTAACAGGTGGAGGTGACGTGGTCGCAGAGCTGAGGAATGTGGGCTCTCACTGCTCCTGGTGGTTGCGTTAGCAGTCGGACCTCTTTGTTTCTTAACTGGGGTTCCTTCTTCCACTTGAAAATCCCAGCTCTGGTTCTGCGCCTGAGCTCAGTGAGCAGCAGTGAGAGCAGCAGGGCCTGCCGTGGTTGTGCCTGGTGCTCCTTAGGCCACCTGGGTTCCTCAGGAGCAGAATTGAATAGCCTTATTGAACTGCTTGGTGGCTGCAAAGACTCCCGGTTGCTGTGCTGCAGGTGCCAGACCTTTTACTCTAAAATTATGGACAGGGAAAAACAAACGGAGAAAACAAACACAAAACAACAAGCATTTATCCTTTTCAAACAGCAAATCCATAATGAGCTTGAGATGCAGAGCAGCGAATCAGAACCCATAGCATCTCGCAGGGACAGGTCTGTGCAGGGGAAGGAGGGCTGGGGAGGGGGAGGAAACGCTCCTGCAGCCCAAGAGGATGACTCATCCTTTGCCTGGTGGTGAGATAATGCCACTGTGAGGATGATGTCATCCCTACCTGAGCAGCATTTGGACACAAGCCCTCTCAGGCTCTCAAGGAAAAACACCATCTGCTTCCTCATGTGCAGCCCAAGGCCTGCAGAGGGCCAGGGCGAGGTCAGCAGCCCAGTGACTCATCAGCAGCCAATTGGTGCTAAGCAGCGCCTTCAAAATGGCCCTTGCAGTCACAGCCCAGAAATGTGACATGACGACTCAGGATTGAGTCATCCTCCTTTTCTGTCGTTTTATGTTTTGCACTTAGTTAATGCTGTTGAGGATTGAACTCCTGAAATAAAGCAATTTTCTCAACATGGTCAATCATATTGAACTTCCTTGTTTGTTTAAACTACATTTTTGGGGGGCCCAGGAATTAAACCTGGGAGCACTTAACCACTGAGCCACATGCCCAGCCCTTTTCTGTTTGTTTTGAGAGAGGGCCTTGCTCAGTTGCTGAGGCTGGCTTTGAACCTGTGACCCTTTGCCTCAGCCTCCCCAGCCACTGGGATTATAGGCGTGCACCACTGCACCCAACTTAAACCACACTCTTAATCAAAGCTGAGGGCTGGGGCTGTGGTTCAGCGGCAGAGCACTCGCCTCACACATGCGAGACCCTGGGTTCGATCCTCAGCACCATTTAAAAATAAATAAATAAAATAAAAATATAATAAATCAAATCTGAGTTTTGTTTTCTTTTGGAGTGCACAGATCATGTTTGTGTGACTTGTGCTTTGCACCTACAAGCCCCATGATCCCTTAGGACCAGCTGCTGCTGTGCAGGAGAGCCATCTCTCTGCTGCTGACCACTAACGCCTGGCCCCATTTGAAGAGTAATAGATGAAAAAATTAAGTTCCCAGAATTGTGGCGAACCTTCAATTTATGGTCTCTGCATTTAATTATGGAGCTCCCACAAGCCTCTTGACCACCTTTATGTGTAACCTCACATCTTGGAAATGGTTCAAACTACAGAAAGCTGCAGAAATGAAAGTGGCAGCACAGAGAACCCTAAGCACCCAGATCTATACCTACCCAACCCCGGTGGTTTGCTTTTTCACTGATGCAAGGGCACTGTGCTTTCTCTCTCTCTCTGGATCTCTCCCTTATGCACGACATTTGAGAGAAGTCAAACATACACCGTGGTGCCAGCTGCACGCCTGTGATCCCAGCTGCTCCAGAGGCTGAGGCAGGAGGATCATAAGTTTGAGGCCAGGGGTGAGGGAGGGAGTGAGAATCAGGCAGCTTCTTCCAGAGCCCAGGGTGGGGACTGGGGACTAGAAGGGAGAGTGGAGCCCCTGAGAGAGGGTGGGGAATGCCTGCTGCTCACCGACCGAGAGGGCTAGCGGGCAGAGGAGCTGTTCCAAGGGTGGTACCGCCCAGCGTGGGTTGGGAGGGGGTGTTGGGGTCTTCATACCACCTCACATTGCCTTTTTCCAAAGTTTGGGGCCTGGATGAGGAGGAAGCAGCTGTGCTGTTGGTTGAAGGAGAGCAGACAACTCTGCTCAGCCAGGCCGGGTGGCCTAGGCAGGTACCAGTGCTCTTGCTCAGGAGGCTCGATGCCCACGGAGCCGCCCTGGGCTCCCGGAACCCAGCAGGACACCCCCTGCTTGGCCCAGGTGACCACCCTTCCCACCTGGCCTTGGCCTGCTCTGCCTCTGTCCCACCCAGCTGTTCATGACAGGTTGGCCGCCTCAAGACCTTGGGAAGCCCTTCCAGGTCCAGCATGGTGGTCAGCCGGCAACCCTCCCCCCACTCTCTGCCAGTTGCCACCACCTCAGCACCATGGACCCCAAGCACTCTGGATGGCCCCCCATGTCATCCAGGCCCCTTTTGCCCATGGCACTTCATTCCCCCACGTGGTGATCTGCTTACCTACTGGGCAGTTGTCTCTCAATGGGAGTCCCTTTGGCTTCTCTGAAGGATGGGCTGCTGGTCTGGCCTGCTTGTCCCTCCTGACCTCCAGACTGCCCTGTGCGTGGGGCCTCCGTGCACCTGTCTGAAGGGGAAGGACCCCTGAGCAAGGAGCGCTGCAGTCAGGATGCTTAGGGACCACGCCCTGGCTGGGTCAGCCCTGTGTTCTCTGCACTGAGTCTGTGACAGCAGCTGGCCTAGGTAAAGCAGGCCTGGAAAGTATTGCCTGTCACCCACGTAGGCAAACACGCTGCCCTCTGCCGTGTGGCCCTGTGCCTCAGGGCTCCCCAGGCTTGCTCGGCTATTCCTCACCACAGAAGGTCTGAGAAAGGCCAGTCCTGAGGGCTGTGGTGTGCACACCCTGGGAGCGCTTGGCAGGTCTTCACAGTCACCCTGAGCTGATGGGATGACTGCTCCCTATGCTGCTCAGGAGCTTGGGTGCTGCTCTTCCTTCAAGTTAAAGCCTGCTGGGCACGCTGTAACCCTAGCACCTTGGCAGGCTGAGGCAGGAGGATGGCAAGTTAGAGGCCAACTCGGGCAACTTAGCAAGGCCCTGCCTCCTAGTGAAAGGGGCTGAAGGTGTGGCTCAGTGGTAGAGCACTTGCCTGGTGGGCCCTGAGTTCTCCCCAGCACTGGAAAAGATAAAAAATAAAAGTCGACGACCTTTTTAAAAGCCAGCTTCTGTTTTAGGTGTTTGGGAACAAGGTGATCATCCCTTCCCTGGACGGGGACCTCTTCCAGTGGGACCGGGACCGGGAGAGCATGGAGACGGTTCCCTTCACGGTCGAGTCTCTCCTCGAAGCTTCTTATAAATTTGGAGACGATGTTGTTTTGGTTGGAGGAAAATCGCTCACGACATATGGCCTCAGTGCCTACAGTGGGAAGGTGAGTGGCCACGTGTTCTGGAGACACAAAGTCAACATGCTTCTCTAGGCCTGGGCCTCTTCACCGTTGTAGTTATGCTAGTAGGGGTTTCATAGCTGGTCTCTCTTCCAGCTTTAGAGTGATCATTTTACTCAAAATATTAAAATCATTCACCTGATTGGATTTCTTTTGTTTCCATCTTCAAATAATGAACCCCTTATGCAATTCCTATGTTTAGATCTGTGAATAAGAAATAAGAAATGCTGATCTTGTATCCCGTGCCAGGTTTCCCAACCCTAATCACAGTGTCCCTAGTGGAGGTGGGTTGAGATTTTCCCCTGAGGACAGCATTTGTTTTAAAAGGAGAACTTTGAAGTAGGAAAGGGAAACTCAACCACGCTGAGATGGGAAGGAAAGGTCAGTAGCCATGCCTCTGTGTCCCCTGCTTTGCAGACGTTATCTTGACAGTTGGAGACCTGGGCAGCGTTCCTGGGGCCACCTGTTTCTATTCCCACCTCAACAGCTTAGGGTCCTCCCAGGGCAGTGAGGATGTGACGATGGGACCAGTGGCTGCCGTGTTTACCTAACTTGACCCTGTGGACAGCCACCCATTCCCTCAGTGAGGAGCCAGTGATCCAACAGATGTTCTCACGTCTTGGACACCTCCTCACACATTTCCTTGATTTCCTTTACTTTTTAAAGTTGTGGAGACTTGTCACATCTCTGCCCTCCGTGACCGTCCCCTTCGCTGGCCTTGTCTCTGTAGGTGAGGTACATCTGTTCTGCCCTGGGTTGTCGCCGGTGGGACAGCGATGAGCTGGAGGAAGAAGAGGACATCCTACTTCTGCAGCGCACCCAGAAGACCGTGAGGGCCGTCGGACCCCGCAGTGGCAATGAGAAGTGGGTGTCGGGGCTGTCGCTCGCGGGCCCTTTGGAAGCACCCAGAGCGTTACTCTCGAGTCTCCTCCATAGGGGTCCTGGGACCCCCTATTGCCCTGGAAGCGGCTCCTCGCTTCTGAGATGTGGGCCTCCTGGTTATTTGCAGGGGCTGGTCTGACCTCACTGTGTGCTTCCGGACGGGGTGGCCAGGGCCCCGGGGTGGCTGCAAATGAGGGTGATCTTAGGTCCAGACGTTTTTGGCAGAGCCTCAGTGGCAGGAGTTCTGAATGAAGAAAGCTCTTAAGACAAAGTCAACATGCTTCTCTAGGCCTGGGCCTCTTCACCGCTGTAGTTATGCTAGTAGGGGTTTCATAGCTGGTCTCTTCCAGCTTTAGAGTGATCATTTTACTCAAAGTATTAGAAATCGTTCACTTGATTGGATTCCTTTTGTTTCCATCTTCAAATAATGAACCCCTTATGCAATTCCTATGTTTAGATCTGTGAATAAGAAATAAGAAATGTTGATCTTGTATCCCGTGCCAGGTTTCCCAAACCTGATATTCAGTTCTTTACATCCCATCTTCATCGTTTGAGAGGGAACCGGTTTTGTCCAGTCTGATGCAGTGCAGTTCAGTGAAGATCCCATTCATCCTCTCTCCCTTTAGTGGGCTGTGCATCTGCCCATGGCTTGGTGTCCTGTATCCGGGTGGGATGAGCTCAGCCCCCAGAAGCAGACATCTTAGCAGAGCTCCCAGTGACCAGGAAAGGGAAGGGTGGGCCCGAGGTCCACACTCCTTAAAGGGTGGGTTTGTTACTTACTAATCACAAGGAAATGTCAATGCCCCTGTGTGGGCAGGGGCCTGAACTTGGAAAGGGTGAAGGACTTGCCATGGCCCGTCCGAGGGGGACACTGACGCTGAGGGACATGGCCTTGGGTCTGTCTCCTAGAAGACCCATTTGTGTGGCCTCTTGCTTGGGCTCCACTCACTGGCACACCACTGGGGTGTCAATTTCTCTGCCCATGGATGAAATGCACCCTGATGACTGATAAGCAGACTGCATGCCACCTCGTTTTAAGGTGGCTCCTGAATGTAAAGATCTGTCCATCTTTGAGAGACTGGCACAGCCTGTCCTTGGCTCCCCAGAACCAGTCTCTACCGCTTCAGGATGCTCTCCTGGGCCCTCTTCTGGCAGGGAGCAGCAGAGCACCCCTTTCTAGAGTCATTTCTGGTTTTTTGTTTGGGTTTTTTTAGTTAATACTAACTTTGATCATCTAATTAGGGTGGTGTCTCTCAGGCTTATTTTTGATGTATTCTTTTTAGATGTATATGACAGTAGAGTGTTTTAACGTCTTAACTTATTCTCCTCTTCACAAAATTCGTAGCATTTGCTTCTTTGTTTTTAGGAGAGTTCTGTATTGTTTGGTCCCTGTATTTAAAGTGTGAATTTCTAAAACACACCTTTGTGAATTTAAGGTGGAATTTCAGTGTTGGCCACTTTGAACTTCGGTATATTCCAGACATGGAAACTAGAGCCGGATTTATTGAAAGCAGCTTTAGACCCAGTGGGGACAAGGAAGAGTCTAAGATTATTTCAGATGTGGAAGAACAGGAAGCCGCCATGCTGGAAACGGTGATAAAGGTTTCGGTAGCTGACTGGAAGGTCGTGGCATTCAGTAAGAAGGGAGGACACCTGGAGTGGGAGTACCAGGTACCCAAAGCCCCTGAGCTTGTGACTCTCTCTCCCCGCTTGGGCGACCACACCAATTGGGAGGGAACAGACGCCCCCTCCAACTCTCAGCTGACACTCTGTGCATTAAGACGTGGGGACTCTCAATGATGTTTTCTGAGGTGAAACTTCTAGTGCTGTCTGAATCCTTGGTGTCTCTTCTCCGTTTCTGCTTAGTTTTGTACTCCGATCGCTTCTGCCTGGTTGGTCAGAGATGGCAAAGTCATTCCAATCAGTCTCTTTGATGACACGAGTTACACATCTACAGAAGAGGTTTTAGAGGATGAGGAGGACATCGTGGAAGCTGCACGCGGAGCCACGGAGAGCAGCGTGTACCTGGGTGAGTGCCTTCCCTTACCTGGCAGGGCCTTCAGGGACCACGAGAGTGTCTTCCCACATATAGTGGACGGCCTGTCATGGTCCAACCTGAGCACAATCCAGGGGGCACATCACCGGTAGACGTGTACCCTGATTTCCATTCCAGCTGTTCTCCATTTTTCCATTTCTGAAACCTTTAATTACCCTAGTAACATTCTTTTCATCCAAGACCTGTATTAGAAAGGCTTACAGATATTCTTCTTGTGTGGCATGGTGTAAAGTTCCTTACACAGCCTTAGAGTTTACTCCCATCTGCCACTATGTCTGTGTTCACCTCTGTATCAGTCTGTTCTCCCCTGAAAAATTAGGATTTTTAGCTGGGCATCGTGGAACATGCGTGTGATCCCAGTGAGGTGGGAGGCTGAGGCAGGAGGATTTCGAGTTCAAAGCCAGCCTCAGCATCTTAGTGAGGCCCTGTCTCTAAATAGAATATTTAAAAGGGGATGTGGCTCAGTGGTGAAATACCCCTTGGGTTCAATTCTCTTACCCGCTTCCCCGACAAAAAAAAATTAGGATTTTTTTTTCTTCAATGCATACATGTAATTACTCTGAAAAAAAAATCTGGGGTGCCTCTAGGCAATTGAAAAAACCTTTAAGAGTGCTGGGCACAGTGGCACACATCTCTAATCCCAGTAGCTCTGGAGACTGAGGTAGAAGGATCAAAGTTCAAAGTCAGCTTCAGCAACTTAGTGAGGCTCTAAGCAACTCAGTGAGACCCTGACTCTAAATAAAATACAAAAAGGGCTGGGGTTGTGGCTCAGTGGTAGAGTGCCCCTGGGTTCAATCCCTAGTACCAAAAAAAAAGGAAGGAAGGAAGGAAGAGCCTTTAAGGACTTAATATCAGATGAGCCTACTTACAGTGACACAGTTTATAGCAGCTCAGTTCACAATGGCTAATCTATGGAACCAACCTGTGCTCCTCGAAAGGTGAATGCATAAGGAAAATGTGGTATGTATACACAATGGAATATTACCCAACCTTAAAGGAATGAAGTCAGGGCATTTCCCAGTAAATGGACGGAACTAGAGACTGACATGCTAAGTGAAATAAGCCAAACCCAAAAAATCCAAAAACTGAATGTTCTCTCCGATATGTGGCTGCTAACTCACAATATGGGGGTGGGGAAGAATAGACATTCATTGGATTAGACAAAGGGAATAAAGTAGGGGGGATTGGGGAAGGAAAGATAATAGAATACACAATCAGGTCACTGTACATCATGGGCAAGTACAAGAGGGGACGCTGTGCTCCATGTATGTGTGGTATGTCCAACACACTCTACCGGCTCCTGTGTATAACAACAAAACCACGTGGAGTCGAGGGAAGGTGGTGGGGAAGGAAAAGGGAGGGAAAGGGGAAGTACTGGGGACTGAGAGCAAGAGTTATTTGTCTATTTTTGAAAAAAAAGAAAAAGAGGTTTTAATATAATAATTTTTTAAAACTCTTGAATCCGATCACTTGAAGTAGTGTGGCTCATTGAACACTTAGGATCCTATGAGTGCTGCCAGTGCGCCCCACCCTCATTCAGGGTGGAAGGCAAGGATCTGGAGAGAACGTGTCATGTGTTATGGGAGTACCTGGCTGAGTGTCCACAGGTTTCTGCTGAACTGGGGGGAGCTGTCTGGTGCGCATGCAGGGATGTCCTGCGTCTGGACTTACCATGGCAGCAGCTCTCCTGTGATTTCTGCAATGTGCTGAGTGGGCGAGAAGCACGGTGCGGGCCTGAGCCTGCTGCTAAGAATCACTGAGTCGAATTTGAAGCTTCAGCCATCTATCTTTCTTCTTTGAAGATTGCTATGTAGCATGCAGACAACTAGAATTGATCTAATTTTATTAATCAAAGTGAACCTTTTAAAAACATCTTTGCCTGATTGACAGTGTTCTGTTGGTTCAGGAATGTACAGAGGCCAGCTGTACCTGCAGTCATCAGTGAGAATCTCAGAAAAGTTTCCTGCAAATCCCAAGGCCTTGGAGTCTGTCAGTAGTGGAAATGAGATTATTCCTTTGCCAACAATCAAATGGAAACCCTTAATCCGTAAGTGAATTACCCACTTTATATATTGAGACCTAACCCTGTCTTTGCCCTAATTTTGAATAATGCAGAGATAAGAATTATTGCTTACTTTATATTTTACCAACAAATTGGGAAGGCATTTCAGAATATTTAATTATCACTTAGAGCATTTCTTCTTGGAAACAGCAATTGTTTCTGTAGAAGTAAATATTAATAAACTATTTCTCTAAGAAAAACTCTTATTCACTGACTATGCCAAACTAATGTTTAGCTCTTAACACACACATACATACACACACACACACACACACACACACACATACATATACACATATATAAACATAATTTGGTACTAGGGACTGAACTCAGGGGCACTTGACCACTGAGCCACACCCCCAGCCCTATTTGTATTTCATTTAGAGACAGGGTCTCACTGAGTTGCTTAATGCCTCACTATTGCTGAGGCTGGCTTTTAACTCACAAATCTCCTGGCCCAGCCTCCTGAGCCACTGGGATTATAGGCATGGGCCACCAAGCGTGGCTAACATATTAAGAATATTTGCATAAAAGGTCACCTGGTGATCACACCATGAGGCCTGTAATGAGCTTGGCTCAAGCGATGAGCCACCTCTCTGTGTCTTTCCATTGCTTCTCCAGATGGCTCGTGCTCTATGTGAGACACTGCTTTTGGGGGGCAGGAACCCTGGGCCGGGTGTTTGACATGTGTCTGACCTGAACATCGGCTTACCTAATGGATGGCACATGCGTTTTCATTAGTGGCATAACAGTTAATGTCTTCTCGTTTTCTTTCAGATTCCCCTTCCAGAACCCCTGTCCTGGTGGGCTCTGATGAATTTGACAAATGCCTTAGTAATGACAAGTTTTCTCACGAAGAGTACAGCAATGGTGCCCTTTCAATCTTACAGTATCCATATGGTAGGTGTGATTACTCCTGAGTTGAAAATACCGATTTTATATGTTTTATGACTTGAAATTAATTAATAGAATTAAAAAGAAAGTAGGTTGATTGGAACTGGGCATATTTTGGGCCCAGCACAATGGTATGCACCTATAATCCCAGCTACTTGGGAGGCTGAGGCAAGAAGGATCATAAGTTTAAGGTCAGCCTGGACAGCTTAGTGAGATCCTACCTCAAAATAAAATAAAAAGGACTGGGGATGAAGTTCAGTGGTAGAATGCCTGTTTTCAATCCTAGTACCCTCACCTCCAAGAAAAAGAAATCTTGAGGGAAGATTGAGCACTAATTCTTGCATTTAAAGGATTGAATTAGTAATGAGGTCACCAATTAAATTTTTTTCTAATGTTGTTTATTATAAAGAAAGCTTAAGATGCTTATGTTATAAAGGAAAATGCCCGTATTTAAGGAGAAAGAAGGGTAGGGTATGCACTTAGTGGTAGAGTGCTTGCCTGCCATGCATAAGGCTAGTACCTCAAAGAAAGACAAAGTAAGGCAAAGGAAGATGTTTGACCAGAGGAGAGATGAATTTTTAAAGAAACTGGTGTTGTGGACAATGGATAGTCTGAGAAAGACGGCTTGTTAGGTTCATCTTAAATTCTAAAAGCCCTTCAATGCTTGCTTTAAAGACAACGGGTATTACCTGCCCTACTACAAGAGGGAGCGGAGCAGGCGGAGCACGCAGATCACCGTCAGGTTCCTGGACAGCCCTAGCTACCCCAAGAATGTCCGCAGGAAGGACCCGGTGCTCCTCCTGCACTGGTGGAAGGAAATCGTGGGGACGATCCTGTTCTGCATTGTGGCCACCACTTTCATCGTGCGCAGGCTCTTCCACCCTCAGCCACACCGGGTGAGCGGGCGGAGCTGGCTGCACTGGGGTGGGACGCGTCACCTGGCCGCGAGAAGGCGCTGCGGGGCCTTGTGCTCTGGCGCCTGCGCACTGGGCTCCGTGGCACCTGCAGCTCCCAGGCCGTGGCAGCCAGCTTGATGCTGCACCCAGTTCCACATGGTGCTTGTGCACTGGAAGTGGAAGACATGACAGTAAGGACTTGGCAGTGCCATTATGACCATGGGACACTGGTGCCGTGGTTCCAGCACCCCCTCTCCCTGCTCAGCCCACTGCAATCGGGATGCTCCCATGCCTCTGTGGCTGCTCTCGCCTGGGCTCTGGAAAAATATTTTTAAATGTAGTGGGTGAGCATTTCCCATCCTTCTCTTGACACCTTGAACACCTTCCTGCCCCCTCCCCTGCCTGAGTCCCTTAGCACTGCTTTCTCCTGCTTGGGCATGTGTGGGTCCTCAGGTTGTCCTCCGCCTCTTTTGGTCACCTTCCTGTACCTCCTCTCTGTATTTCACAGTCTACAGTCACAGTAGACTGTGAAATAACTTTCAAGTTACAGTCTTTTCTTTCCTGGGGCCTTGGGTTCCACCTGTAGCTTGGGAGGGGACCTCCAGCCCTGAGCCCCACCCAGTGCCCGGTGCTCCAAGCACCTTATGAACATGACCCTAGATCCCTGCTCCCTCCAGAGCAACTCCCAGTAGGAGCCATGGAGCCCCCAGCATGGACCCCAGGCGGCCTGATTCACACTGCTCCCAGCATCTGGTGCTGTGGGCACTCTTCCCTCACGAAATGCTCAGCCATAGTCACCAGGGCCAGAGTTGCACTCTCATCAGTCCCCAATCCTCTTCCTCCTAAATATCTTAAAACTTGTGGTCTTCTCCGTCTCCTAGTTTCTGATTCCCTGAAGCAGACACTCACACTGAAGTTGCTCACACTGACCTACGCGGCCCTGGTCCCTCCTGGCTACACCTAGCTCTTGCTGCCTTGGCTGCTTCAAAACCCTGGTGCAGGGCTGGGCTGAGTGGTGAGGCCCTGGGTCTGATCCTTAGCACTGCATAAATATTAATATCTGAAATAACGGTGTTATGTCCATCTACAACTAAAACAACAACAAACCCTGATTATGGACCCCTCATGGCTGCTGGGGAAAAGACCAACTTTCATCCATTTCACTGTGCACCACCTGCTCCCCGCTGTCTTTACCAGTACCCCTCCGTTTTTCTCCCTCCCCTCTCCCCCTGCTCTGCTACCTGCCCAGTTTCTTTCTAACCCTCCTGAGGATCTTGCCCCTGACCCCACCCGCCTCCTGTTCTCCCCTCCCAGGAGGCTAACACCTACATGTCCCTAAGCTAGAAGGGGGTTCTGGGGTCCTGAGTCAGCTCCCTGCCTCTGGGACACACACTGCCCTCCCCCAGTAGAGAGTGTTAGGTGATGCCTGACTGCCTCCTCGAGGGCTCACCCCCAGCCCCATCCTCCCAGTCCTCCTGCAGTGGCCAGCGTGACAGAGCTCAGCACAGACTTGCTGGAGGGCTTGGTGGCTGCGCTGACAAGCCACAGTCATCCTCTTGACCATGGGTCTTGGCAGGAGGTGGGTGAAGACAGTGCCAGGCTCAACTTGCTGTTGTTGGAGGCACTTTTTAAAAAGCCTCCACAAAATTGGTCAGGGAAGAAGTGAGCCTCGCCTCCTGGAGTCCGGTCCATACCCGTGTGTGCCCCTTCTCTTTACGCCTGCTTGCTTGTTAAACGCACAGGTGACATGCCAACATGGTAGAAACAGACTAGATGCATGGCAGCTGGAAGATGAGCTTATTTTTTTTAATCCTGATAAAGAGAAATGCTGTATGTGGTGCTTTTATATTGACTTTATTTTTCTCAGCTGCTTATTTTTCGATGCTGTTTATAACCTGAGATCGTAACCGGCTTGAGTTCAGATTTGTATTGACAGTGATTTTGTTTATAATCTGAGATCGTAGCTGACTGAGTTCAGGTTTGTACTAATAGTGATTCTGTTTTTTACCTTATCAGCAAAGGAAAGAATCTGAAACTCAGTGTCAAACTGAAAACAAATATGATTCTACAAGTGAAGGGGCCAGTGCCAGTAGCCAGAGTGACACAAAGAGCTCGGGATATGTATCACGGTAAGAATCTGAGGGCATGGGCTGCGATGCAGCTTCTGATGGTGGACCGACCTCCAAGGTCGTGTGCAAGCGTGAAGCAGTGTGGATCTCAGCCGGCACCTTATTCTCTTTTCTTTTTTTTTTTTTTGGTGGTGCTGGGGATTGAACTCAGGGCCTTGTGCATTCGAGGCAAGCACTCTACCAATTAAGCTATATCCTCAGCCCGGCACCTTATTTTCGTTTGGTCCCCCATGACCTGGGTCAGCCTGGATGGTGCCCCGTGGTGATTATCAGATGCGTTGGAATATGATGGAGGTCTCCAGATGCTCCTTGAACTCAGCCGCTTATTTCCTCTTTCACTCTGGTAGGAAGTGGGGGGGGGGGACACTAATGGAACAGGTGCTTGTAAAAGCAGAAGAGAGGTGGCTAGCTAAGGGGCGGGGTGAGACCACCAAATTCCATGCATACAGCTGACCCAGTGACACACAGTTGGCAAGAGCCACTCCTGTGCCCTTGCTAGTGCAGATGCCAGTGCAGGTCGGTGGCTGTCAGTGCCTGCACGGTGAGAGGCAGAACAGAACCCCTCACACTGCACGCTGAAGCTGGCAGGGCTGTGTGGTGGACAGTGTGGACAGACTGGGCTGCAGAGCCCTTGCCAGGGTGACAAGCTGCCCTGGAGAAGGGCAGAGTCCATGGGGACATCCCTCAAGGCACAGCGTGAACACGTGGGGGAAGCCATGAACTTGGGCTGGGGCTGACTGTGGTGGGTGAGAGGGCATCACCACGGGGATCGCGCCTGGATAGACTCAGAAAGTGCAGGGCTTTAGAGCCGGGGTGGGGAGAGCTCCTTGTCAGCAGTGCACACGGAAATGGAATCTCCCTCCACCACTGTGAGGGGCGCAGTGATGGCTCAATAGGGCGGCCATGAAAGTGATGAACCTGAGGTTTCCTGGTGCTGCAAGTTCCCGGGCTCTGTTGAGAGAGCAAGCTCTGGGCTTGGGTCTCAGATCTCGGCCTCTCATTTATCATCTGGGACCTTAGGCAGGACAATACTTCTACTCGAAAGGTCTGCCAACTGTCTGAGGGGGGCAGTCCAGAAGGGTGGCTCAGTGGCCCCAGGAGCAGGACAGGAGCTCGTGGGCCTTGGCGTCCAGGGAGCAGGGTGTACCAAGTACCTCAATTGGCTATTTTTAGGAGTGCAGATTATCATTCCTTGTTTTCTGGAAGGTAATTGGCCCAGGGAGGGTTGGGACCTGCAGTGTCTCCTCCTCAACATGCCATATCTAGCTGAGGCAGCTGCTAAATTAGCATGGAGCACAGTTGTGAAGCTATGGAATATGACACTCGCCAGGTGCTCGCCAGGTCAGGGACCGTGGAGCATCCGAGGCCACGCTCCCAGGTGACAGGAGCGCTCTCCACAGGTGTGACCATTTACTGTGCACACAGCATGCACAGTTATTAGATCCTGACTTCTGGAAAGAAACAGGAGTGCTTTCCTGCACTCATGAGCCATGGCGGGAGGACAAGCGTTGAGATAACTATGCGTATGGAGGTTGGGTCGGGCTAGTTCAGGGCTCCATGATCACAGAGCCGTGGGAACACAGGCAGGTCCTGGAGAGCCGTCCAGCGGAGGGAGCTGAAGAGGAGAGGACAAACGAGGCAGCCACCAGGCAGAGCAGAGGGCAACAGCACTGACGGCAGGCAGTGAGTGACAGCAGGAGACCAGGCTGCAGGGAAGAGGGCTGAGGAATACCCTGGGCTGGGCACATTGCCTGCCACGGCTTTGGTTCCTGAAAAGATTTCTGGCCAAAAAAGTACTTGAAGCTGGGCATGGGGTGCAGCCTGTAATCCCAGCAGCTCAGGAAGCCAAGGCAAGAGACTTTGAGTTCCAAGCCAGCCCAGGAACTTAACAAGGCCCTAAGCAACTCAGTGACGCCCTGAGGGCTGGGGTTGTGGTTCAGTGGTGAGCACCCCTGGGTTCACTGCCCAGTACCCCAAAACAAAAACTACTTGAATAGGATGACTGTATTTTTTCCTTACAATTTACGTGTAATGAAACAAGATTAAAATGAATTTAAATTGAGCATAAAATGAAGGACATAGAAGGTTACAGAACTAAGAATATGATGTTTTGGTAGATGACAGAAAGTATGGGGTAGGACTCATCAGAAATGCGTTCTCCATAGGAATGAGTGATTAACAAGGGCTTCCCTATTAAACACAGCTTTTTTATTTTCACTAGAACATATGTAAGCTTTTGTTTGCTTCATTTACATGAAAAGAAAAGTTCAGATGCAATTAATAGAATTCTGTCTATGCTCTTTAAAACAAGTTCTGCGTGTTGGCTGGGCTCACCCACTCTACATGTCATCAGGTTGGACTGAGGCTGACCTTACTACAGACTTCTAAGCAACTCCTGACTTCTTAAAACTCAACCTTTTGTTTCTTCAGCTATCTGACAGATTTTGAGCCGGTGCAGTGCCTGGGCCGTGGGGGCTTTGGAGTTGTCTTTGAAGCTAGGAACAAAGTGGATGACTGCGACTATGCCATCAAGAGGATCCGGCTCCCCAACAGGTAGTGGACACCCGAGTCCTGCAGAATGTCCCTTCTGTGCTCCAGGCCTTTGGAGAGAACAGCCGTCCTGGCTGCCCACATCTCGGCCAGTGCTGCAGGGCAGCCAGCTGCAGGCCATACCTGTGCCGTGGGCTTTGCATCTGCTTGGGAAGCAAAGCCTGTCCTCAGACTTCCCCGCGAGGACAGGTGGTGGCAGTAGACTTGAACAGACTGTAGCATTTGTTCTCTATTTTTTAAAAATATTTTTAGTTGTCAATGAACCTTTATTTACTTTTATGTGGTGCTGAGGATTGAACCCAGTGCCTCACACATGGTAGGCGAGCGCTGCCACTGAGCCTCCGCCCCAGCCCCAGACTGCAGCATTTAAAACACCTCTGACTATTATAGTAAGTAAGGGGCAGGGGTGTAGCTCAGTGGTAGAACACTCACCTAGCATGTGTAGGACCCTGGGTTCAATCCCCAGCACTACCAAAAAACAAAACAATACTAATCAGGGAAAGAATTAAAACTATTGGTATTATATTCTCTCCCCCGTAATGGCCACCACTAGCATTCAGTCTTGCCTTTGGCTTCTCTCAGTCTCTGTTTAGTACCAACACACAGTTTTCTGTTTCTTCCTCCGTCAGATCTTCAGCACTCCCAGGTTATTAAGAGCATCGTATTTAAATGCTAAAATATGTTTAAGGTATGGCTTGGTCATAGTACAGTGTTTTAGTACATAGTGCCATGTCTTGTTTAAACACTTCTTATTGTTAAAGAATTTATAATTTCAAAAAATGCTTTGCAATATTTGTCTTATGTCTAAATTTGGCCACATCTTTTTTATTTTTAACTTTTTTTCCTAGAAAATATATAAGGTTTTGTTTGCTTCATTTACACAAACAGAAGAACTAAGAATGCAATGAATAGAATTCAAACTGTGGTCTTTATTAGAACAAGTGCTGTGGGTTTGCTGAGTCTGTACATTTTTTACATCTCCTAATGCTCTAGTGCTTCCTGGCTCTGAACATGTGTGCTTCAGACTTCCCGTGACACCTCCCTATCCACCTCTGTGGCGGCTCTTGTTGGTTCTGGATTGCTGTGCAACACTCTACTGGTGGTGACAGGTTTACACCTGCCAGTGACATAGGAATTGAATGGCTTGGGTACTGTGGGACTGGTTCTCTTCTTTTGCTAAATAACTTCTGAGTAGTTTAAATGTACGTGTGTGCCAGGCACCATGTAGGAGCTTCACAAAAGCCTGTGACTTTGGGTGCATGCGTGTGTGTGTGTGTGTGTGTGTGTGTGTGTGTGTGTACACTCTCAGTTACGCTGTAAGCAAGATTATCTTCCTAAACAGCCTTTCGTGAAGGACAGGCAGGCAAGCCTGGGGAAGTGGTCCATTTCTGATTCCTTTGTTTGACACACCAGCATATTTCCGTGTGTATCTGCATTCTTCGAGGTGTGGCATCTATTTACATTTCCATATCTTTCTATACAAACATTCACTGAACTAGGCAAGTCCTCACCCATCCCCACTCCTCCCTCCTGGGAGCAAACATTTAATCGTCCGCAGTGAAACATTTTCAGCCAGTCAGAAGGGCTTGACTGGAGTGAGGTGGCAGTTGTGTTGGTGGTGCTGATTCCCAGGAGGGAGAGAAATGCTAAACAGAGGTGAGTGTTTTTAATGCAGAATTTACTACACAGCTTTAAACTCACCCTGGGCTGACCTGTCTGTCCCTCATGTTGGACTCCAGGAGGCTTCTGCTTTATTGTTTGGTTTCCATAATGGAATTGAATATTTCAGCAGATGCAGACGACGCTCAGTGCTGTCTTCCCTCTGTTTCAGGGAACTGGCTAGAGAGAAGGTGATGCGGGAGGTGAAGGCCCTGGCCAAGCTAGAGCACCCGGGCATCGTCAGGTACTTCAACGCCTGGCTGGAGGCCCCCCCGGAGGAGTGGCAGGAAAAGATGGACGCCATCTGGCTCAAAGATGAGAGGTACGGTAGCCCGGAACTGAGGACTTGGGTTCTCCTTTAGGCCAGGTTTTGCTTATTTATTTAAGTTCAGGGGTTTGTTTGTCTGTTTTTTAAGAGAAAAGCAGTAGTTCTGTGCTGTGTCTGGAAAGTTCTCTGACCCCTGTTGAATGAGATCTCTTTTGTTAGCTTTTGGGTCTGTACTTCCCTTTGCATTGTGATCAGGGATTCATGGCAATCTTCTCTGTCTGAGGCACTAGCTGCTTCTGTTTCTCTCCATTCTTTTATTGAAAGCTTTTAAAATTAGTTTTTCTCTGAGCACTTAACAATTTACAACTCCCTTTTAAATAGTTTAAAACTATTTGTAGGGGGGAAAAAAAAGCCCACATAAACACAGTGGCCTGAAGATTCTTCCCATGGCAGCTGCAGTGTGCTAGGAGGAGGACCCTCAACAACTGCTCTAGAGGCACAGAGATGCCAGGCGAGGTGGCCCACACCTGCAATCCCAGCAACTAGGGAGGCAGAGGCAGGAGGATCGAAATTTTGAGGCTAGCCTGGGAACCTAGGAAGACCTTTTTCAAAAAATAAAAAGGCCTGGGGATATAGCTAAGTGGTTAAGTACCACTGGTTCCATCTTCAGTCCCTGGTATCAAAAAAAAAAAAAAAAAATTCCCATGCAGGTGGCCTTCGCACACCTGGTAACACTCCTGCACCCCTGCTAGGCCCCTGTTACAGTGACAGAGATTCGGAGTAGCCAGCCCAGGGAAGGGCCCCGTGCTAAGAGTGGCGGGGGCTTGGGCAGGGGCCTCGGAGGCTCCAGAGTCCTGTCCTTGGATTCCTTCGAGTCTCACGGAAGGCCCGTGGTCCCGTGGCCGTGGCTTTCCTCCAGGCGAAGCCCTCTGCATAGGGCAGCCCAGTTCCCCTGCCGTGTGCCCACCTTCGCCTTTCTACCCCTGCAGCACGGACTGGCCACTCAGCTCGCCCAGCCTGCTGGATGCACCCTCCGTGAAGATCCGCAGAATGGATCCTTTCTCCTCCAAAGAGCACATCGAGATCATCGCCCCTGCGCCCCAGAGAAGCGCATCTTTCTCGGTGGGGATTTCCTGCGGCCAGACGAGCTCCTCCGGGAGCCAGTTTTCCCCACTAGAGTTCTCGGACATGGACCACGGCAACGCCAGTGGATTGGGAGCCGCGGCCTGCAGCCTCGGGGATCACTGCCCCGCAGACCGTGGCGTGGAGGGTGGCACCGCAGAGGGCAGTGGCCGCAGGCACTCCTTCGAGCTGTGTCCTTCTGTGACGCCCACCCACACGAGGTCCAGGGAGAGGACCTCCTCCTCCATCGTGTTCGAGGACTCTGGCTGTGACAACGCATCCAGCAGGGAGGAGCCCAGGGCCGAGCGCCTGCACATCAGCAGCCTCTGTGCACACCGAGTGGCCGCCTTCAGGTACTCCAGCAGCAAGTCGTCTTCCGAAGCCACGCTGTCCATCTCTCCTCCCAGACCGACCTCGCTCAGCTTAGATCTCACCAAGAACACGGCAGAGAAACTGCAGCCCAGCTCCCCTAAGGTGTATCTATACATCCAGATGCAGCTGTGCCGGAAGGAGACGCTCAAGGACTGGCTGAGCCGCCGCTGCAGCTTAGAGCAGAGAGAACGGAGCGCATGCCTGCACATCTTCCTGCAGATCGCTGAGGCCGTGGAGTTCCTGCACAGCAAGGGGCTCATGCACAGGGACCTCAAGGTGGGTGTCTGCAGCACAGCACAGCGGCTTCTCTCTGATGCTGGGGTCTTGGGCAGGACCCGCGGACATGCCTGTGCTTGGCACGGAGGAGAGGAGGGGTGCAAGGGCAGTGAGCGCGTGGTGGGCAGAGCGCCTCAGGCACCACCCTGCGCCCTGGACTGCGAAGTGTGGTTGGCTGTAGCGTTTGCCCCCCAAGTCGTGATGGAGAGGTCGTGGGCAGCCTCGCCTACACACAGTTGTGCCTGCCCCACATGTGCTTTGGGCAACAGCCCTGAACATGCCCCTGTAGTCATGGAGCAACCCGTGGAAGGGGGAGGAGTCTGTTCACCAGCGGGCTCTGAGGGGGGCGGCAGGGGTCTGCACTTGTGCACCTGTTCCTGGACGTGGAGATGCGGGGGCAGCTGTGTACAGAAGGGCAGGATGTCAGTGGCCAGGCCGAGTCTGCAGCCTGCCCTTGCTGTCGGTTGCGGTGGTAGCGCAGGGCAGCCTGCACACTTGCAGAGTCCTTCCTGAAGCACAGCACTTCCCTGGCGTTTCTAGAAGGATCCAGAAGCTTCACTTAATTTCTGCCACGTTCCACGTGCTCATGGCAGTCAATAATAGAGAGTAGATATCTGGAATGTAAATGTTTTTCTGATAAGATAGTGTAAATTCTTGATCAATTCAATTTTTAAGTAACAGACTTTAGCTTTAAGCACCAAAGTTGCTGTTCAGACAAGTTTTTTCCTTCTAAAGTCATGGTAGGTTTTTAAATTCCTGAAAGATTTCTCAGACTTTGGGAATAATAGGAATAAGAATTAGAAAGAATCCCCACTTGCAGTACTGTCGTGGGTTGGTGGTGATCTAACCAACTTGCTGCTCCAGATGGTGGCCAGGAATGGCGCTGCCCCAGTTGTGTGTCCAGAGCAGAGCCATGCTGGAGGGAGGGGCAGCATGGGAAGGGAGGGGCAGCATGGGAAGGGAGGCAGCTCACAGAGCATCAGAGCAGGCTAGCGGCCAGCTGACTCACAGACACGCATGGGGTTTTTTGTTGTTGTTGTTGTTGGTTTGGGTTTTTTTGTTTGTTTGTTTGTTTGTTTGTTTTGGTACTGGGGATTGAACCAACCAGGGCTTTTTTTTTTTTTTTTTAAGTATTTTTTTTTTTAGGTGTAGATCGACACAACACAATGCCTTTATTTTTATGTGGTGCTGAGGATTGAACCCGGGTCCCGCCTGCACTAGGCAAGCGCTCTATCCCTGAGCCACAATCCCAGCCCCTTTTTAATATTTTATGTAGAGACAGGGTCTCCCTAAGTGTCTGAGGCTGCCCTTGAACTTTCTATCCTCCTGCCTCAGCCTCCCCAGCCACTGGGATCACAGGTGTGGGCTACCAAGCCCAGCCCACATGCTCCTGAATGCTGCCACACATGCTCTACAAATTGAAAGGCAGTCACATTTTTCACTAATAGTGAACATTCTTCTGATTTTATACTGTCAACAATATGCTGGGGAATAATTGCTTAACCCTACACACAGTTGTGCCTGTTTTAAAGATTTTTTTTCTGTATGTACAATAGAAAAAGACCCAGGAAGTTAATATCCCCTGCCTCTCCAGCCCTGCTCTAGTCTCTCCCTGGCCTCACAGCTCCTCAGAGGCAGTGTCCCTGTGCATCCTGTGTCTGTGTGCACTGTCATCACACCCACATCGTGTCTGGTTCCACAGTGGCACCAGTGTGTCTGCTTACAGCCTGCACACAGCGCCTTAGATGTCCTAGAGGCACATGTTTTAGTTTGGATTTTCTATTTTTGCAACAAAAAGCATTTATACTGATTAAACCAGGAGCAGGATTCAGGGAGAGCTTGCAGGATCAGGTGGTGCTGCTGGAACCTGCCTCTCTCCTCCCACTCCTACCTCTCCCTGCATGCAAGCCCTGGAGAGCGAATGACTGCTGCGCTCTTGGCTGCCTGTTTTCTTTGAAGTCTTGGAGGAGGGAGGGCAAAGTATCTTTGTCCCACCCTCGGCTGGTACACCCAGGGCACAGACCTATCCCTGAACCATCTCCTGGCATGGAGTGGGATTCCAAAGATAGGTTAGGCCCCCTGGGGAACAGAATGCTGTCTTCCTGCTGTCTTTGAAGCATGGTGAGCCTCCATTTCAGGAGCTCAGTGACTCCCTTTTTCCTTATTTGAAGGGCTGTGTTAGTTCCCTGCAAGGGAGGAAACAATGGATTTGGTACAAGGCACCTTGAGTTGGAGGAGCCCCGGGATGCTGGCTAGTTTCACGTGAGTTTAGAAAGAACAGGCATCACGCGGAAGTGTTGGGCACAACAGCCTGGCTCTGCTTCCCTCCGTGAGGGGGTTGCCTGTTTCCTGCTCTCTGGCACCAACCAAAGGATTCATCAGAGTGGTTAACTGCCACTGAGCCAGCGTGGCCCTAAATGCTGTGATCACAGGGAAGCACAGCTCTGAGGACTGCCACCACTAGCTGGGTGGCCTGGGGCTGTGTTAACTTCCGGGCCTCCATAATGGGTTGGACCCTCAACCGCGGGGCTCTGTGACAGGGGCTTGCGACACTGTACGTGGCGCCTGTTGCTTGCTGTTGGTATCCTCATGCCCTGGTGGCCAGAGTGAGTGTGGAGTGCAGAGGTTAAGGACTGAGCCTACGGAGCCCTTGGAGTGGCTCCCTCAGGGTTTGAATTGATTTTCCTTAAGTCCAGTTCCCCATACCCCAGGGCTGTCTGCCACTGAAGCCAGAGAACCTTCTATATTCATAGCAGCCAGTTTTAAAGGGACATATCCTATGGTGGCACATGCCTATAATCCCAGCACTCAGGAGGCTGAGGAAGGAGGATCACATGTTCAAAGTCAGCCTCATCAAAGGCGAGGTGCCAAGCAACTCAGACCCTGTCTCTGAATAAAATACAAAATAGGGCTGGGGGTGTGGCTCAGTGGTCCAGTGCCCTTGAGTTCAATCCCCAATATCCCCCCAACAAAAAAAGGGGGCATGTGCTAGAGCCCGCCCAGGTTCTTACACAACTTCTCTGTGCTCCTTCGGCTCCTCCCCGCACACACTCACGGCCTGTGCTCCGCTTGTTTTCCAGCCCTCCAACATATTCTTCACCATGGACGATGTGGTCAAGGTGGGAGACTTTGGGCTAGTGACTGCAATGGACCAGGATGAGGAAGAGCCAACGGTTCTGACCCCGATGCCATCCTACGCCACACACACGGGACAAGTGGGGACCAAGCTCTACATGAGCCCAGAGCAGGTGAGCCCCCCAGCTCATAGCCTGGCTGCAAGTCCTATGCCCACAGACCTCCTCCCCTGTCTCTGCAGTGTGCACCACTGAAGTCTGACACCCAAGGGGACAGCCGGTGGGTGCTCGGGCAGCCCAGCACCCCAGGAACTGGGGTGGATCAAGGTAACCACCCCAGAAACAGGTGCTCACCCTCTGAATAAGAGCCTGAGGGAAGCAAGACCCCAGAGAGACTGTGACCACCACCCTGCCCACCCTGGTCCCTCTGCGCTCTGCGGAGACGGGGTGCTGTGTGAGCTGCCCTCTGGGGATTCACAGCGGCTTCCAGAATTCACCAGGGCAGGTGACAGGCAGTGGCCCAAGGGGCCGAGTGGTGGTAGCAGGGCCCCAGGGAGCCTCAGAGCCACAGAGGGAGCCACCACCAGGCTCCTATGGGCACACGGTGTCACCCCTCTGGTCTCTGTCACGGTTCACACCAGCAGAGTGATTGATTAAGAGCGGTGCCTCTTTCTCACAGAATTTAGTCTATCAGTGTTTGCCACAGTAGAAATTAAAACTGAGAAATTTATAAACTTTATTCATTCCTTCAGAATATTAAGTCCTCAAGTCCTTTCTTTCCTTTATTTGTTTGTTTTTTTAATTTTTCTAATTAGTTATACAAAGCCCATCACATCTTAAGATACTCTTATGAAAAAGTATTTTCCAGAACAAAAATCAGAAGTGTGGGATTTGTTTGAATTTTTGCAAATCTCTTTAAAACCTGACTTACAAACCCTGGATTCTATAACTGTGATGCACAATAACCCGTGGAGGAAAGGCCGGATTGTCCTGTCTGCTTCATTCAGCCACTGCCATGTAGCTTTTGGTTCCTTCTTTATCTGAAGAAAACCTGGCCTCACACAGATGAGCAGTTGGAAGGGAAACAATATTTCATGTCTGGCAATTATGCAGGTGGTAGTTTTGGGGGTTTTTGTTTTTGTTTTGTTTGGCACTAGGGATTGAACTCGGGCACTCAACCACTGAGCCACATCCCAGCCCTATCTTGTATTTAGAGACAGGGTCTCACTGAGTTGCTTAGCGCCTTGCTGTTGCCAAGGGTGGCTTTGAACTCGTGATTCTCCCGTCTCAGCCTCTCGACCCATGGGATTACAGGTGTGCACCACCATGCGTGCAAGTGATAATTTCTTAAGAGTCGTATGAGCCAGGCATGGTGGGTGGTACACACGTGTGATCCCAGCAACTCGGGAGACTGAGGCAGGAGGATCACAAGTTCAAGGAAGCCTGGGCAACTTGGTGAGACTCTGTCTCAAAAAATAAAAAGGGCTGGGGATGAGGCTCAGTGGTAAATGCCCTGGGTTCAAGCCCAAGTTCCAAAAAGAAAAAGTCATTTACACGGTGGAATCCAAAGCCAGGTTTTTCACAGTTACTTTACTGCCCCCCTTGGTCCATCGTGTGCCTTGAGCAGAGTTTCTGCCCATACATGATTTTGTATGTGCTCTTTTGACGTTTGGAGATGATTGGTTCCCTAACTTATGCCGCTTCTCCACAGATTGTCCGTTTGACATACAGTATAAGAAAACCACTGTGGTTACTGTCACCAGGAGTCCTGAGGGGAAGGCTCTGAGAGCTGGGAGCAGCTGTCTCAGTTGAAGGCTCAGCCTCCCCTGGAGGAGAGCCCCTGGGAGAGCAGCGGGAGTCTGCTCAATGGCCTCCAGTGCCCCTCTCCACATGCCACGTGCCTTCTGCAGAGCAGTAGCACTTTCTCAGTAGTGTCCAGATGGCCATGGGGTCAGGATATAGTGCACGTAGTCATTCTTAGCGCTCATCGAGGACTTTCTGAATGCCACCTGTTTTCCCAGGGTCCGTTTCCCACCCGTCGGTGGGGGTCCACACAGTGAAAGGCAGAGGTGTGAGTGTTACTGACCTCCACAGCGGGGTGGCCCGCACTTTGAGAACCAGTGGATTAGCTTATATCAGAGGCCCAGAATAGGAACTGTCTTGAAGGAACAGGACTCTGTCTCACTCTCACGCTATTCAACTCATTCCCATTATTCAAATATTAATTTTTCGTGTTTTAAATACTTTGAATGAAAAAGTGTTTTAAAGAACCAGAAGTATAGACGGATTTCAAAGATAGGAAGAGTGGAGTAAGCATTTAGGTCAGAAAAATAGGCTGAGGCTGGGAGCTGGTTTTCTGCAGCGCTCAGCCCTAGAAGACCTGCAGCAGCATGCAGCCCCAAGGGTCTATGGCCTGGGAGCCCGGGTGGGTCCTGAGCTCGCTCATGTGCAGGGAGTTAGGCATTTCTAGCTGGGCAGGAGGTGGAAGGCCAGGTGGGCAGTGCAGTGGGCAGTGCGGCGGGCAGGGCTGCCTGGGCATGTGCTGGTGTAAGGAGGCGCAGGTAACAGGGACCGTCCCTGCGATTAGTAGACAGGGCACTTTCATGCTTCAGGACACATCTGTGCTGGAAGACAGAAACCCGCTTTCTCTGATCACCGTGCAGTGAGAAGAGGTGATGGCGGTTTGTTTTGATATATTTATCTTATTTTTATTTATTTTTGCTTCTGTTTTTTGCTAGTTGGCAAACCACCCTACATAAGTGCCAGGCCAACGATGAAGGAAAAACTGTCAAAATATTAAGAAACTAATGAAAGAAGTGAGAAATGTTGAAATCCATCAGGTTCCCCAGTTTCTTTTGGAGTGGGTTGAGAGGCTTTGGCAAACATGCTGTGGCTGGCAGGAGGCCGGGAGGAGGAAGGGAGGAGCCGCGGGAAACCTAGAACAGCATCCCCAGCCGAGTGTGTGAGAAGGAATCCCCTTAGCAAATCTAAGCAAGGGGAAGAAAAACAAATAAATCAGAAAGGGTACAGCAAGATTTTTAATTTATAAGAGCCTGTTAAACATATTTTGATTGTTTGCAAAGTATCCAACTTAATAGAAAAAGAAGTCTGTTGGCCCAAGTAAATGACCTATCCTGGTGGAAAGAACTGTAAGATCTCAGAGTGCTGTGGACGCACGTTGCAGCCTGAGGAAAGAGTGGATGAAACATATGCTACCCACAGTCACTGGGGACCTTGGACGAACTTTCACCTATTCTGGGCTCTTCTGCATTTGGAGTTCATCAGCCCACATCACAACTAACACTACAGAGATTTTAATAGCATTTTTAAAAAGTGATTATTATTTAGGAGGTTGGAAATGATACCATTTTTATTTTTTTGTACTGGGAATTGAACCCAGGATTGCTTACCTCTGAGCTACATCCAGCCCTTTTAATTTTTTTATTTGAAATGGGATCTCAGTAAATTCCCCAGCTGGCTTTAAGCTTTCAATTCTCCTGCCTCAACCTCCAGAATTGCTGAGATTACAGGCGTGTGCCACTGCACCGTGATAATTCCTAATTTTTTAGGTGTTTTTTAGATTATTCATTAGGTTTTTTAAAAAATGTATTTCATAGCATTTAAAATTAATAATGCTTTCCTTCATGTTTTGTATTAATCTGTCCTTTATGTAGGACTGTGGAAACAGGAACATATAAAGAAACAGTAAGTCACTAAGGGCTGGGGATGTAGCTCAGTGCAGAGGCTGGCCTAGCGTGCCACACTGAAAGTCCCAGTCCACAGGGTTAGTTCCTCCGTGTGTGTGTGTGTGTGTGTGTGTGTGTGTGTGTGCGCGCGTGCGTCTTATAGATTCATACCTTATTCTGGAAGACAAAATTGGGATTCTATTCCATAAAATTATGGATACATTTAGAATGCGAGCACTCCTATATCAAGAAACGTACTTAAGAAGTACTGTGGTGAGTGTGCTGAACGCGTGTTGGACATCTCTGTGGTTGGTACTGTCACCTGGGTAACTGTTGCACCCAGACCCAGCTCAATTCCATCTGCCCAGGTGGACAGATAGTTGGGGCCCTGACGTGGCCAGGAGCTTTCATTGCCCAGTTGCTTCCCAGAATTTGGGAATTCTGTTCCCATTATCCAGATTCTATGTGTGGGGTCCCCCGTGTCCCCTGCAGACCTGTTTTCCACACATTCTCTGTGAGGCTCCCAAGTCCAGGGAGGGTTCCCATCACTACAGTCACTGGAAGCCGGGAAGGAGGTGCAGCTGGTGATGTCCTGGGGACTGTCCCATTGCTCTTCTGGAGCGCAGGCAGGTGGGCTGCTCGGGAGGCCAGCCCCACACCAAGTGTAGTGTGGAGGGGAAGCTGCGAAGCCCTCTCCAGCCTAACCCTCCTCCGCCCCCAGGAGCAAGGCCAGGAGCATTTCCTTCCCTTCTCAGGGCCCTTTCTAAACACCAAGCCTTCGGCCCAAAGAAATGTCCACAAGTCTGAGGGTTCTGGAGTCAAGGAGGTCACTTTCCATTTGAATGAGGCCTCTTTCAGGGGAGCAGCCGGTTGATTCATGGGTCCTGTGAGCTGCTTATGCAGGGCCCCTTGTACTCAGCCTGCTGAATGCCGGGGAATGCAGAAGCAGCCGTCCCCTGGGTCTTCACCACCTAGCTGTGAAGAGTAAGGAATATGCACATGAAAAAATGCAGCCAAGAATGTGGCTCTGGGTAATTAAGCTCCTAATGAAGGCTGACCACAGTCGATGAATGGTTTGGAGTAATGGAGATTTTTTCATAAAAATAGGTGAGGACAGAGATGATTGCAAATGGGAGATGGGCTTGAGATAGCACTTGCTTTGAAAATCTTCACCTGGGGCAGTGGGATGGCTCCTGGGGCTGCTGTCCAGCAGCCGGCTCCAGGGTTCTGCTGGCCTTGCTGATGCATATCTCCTGGGCTTGGGCTTCCCTCTGTAATGCAGAGTGTTGTGAGTGCCCCTGGCGAGCTGAGGGGAAGGGATTAGCCCTCCTCCCATTCCTACCCTGCACTGTGGAGTAAATGCTGGGAATCTGCAATCAAATAGGGGCAGTCCTGTCCTCTGCTAATTAGAGACTTCTTTTGTGGGATTTCAGATTCATGGGAACAACTACTCCCATAAGGTGGACATCTTCTCTCTGGGCCTGATTCTGTTTGAACTGTTGTACCCATTCAGCACTCAGATGGAGAGAGTCCAGGTGAGTGTCCCCCTCCCCAAAAAAAGGTTGAAAAAGAAAACAAGGTTTACAGGAAGTTACAGAAGAAGTTAGTCTTCTTGTCAGCAGAGGAGTATGGGGCAGGGGAGGTCAAGTGGGCGACCCAGGAAGCACTGTCCACTGTCTGCTCCCTGTAAAGCTCGGCCTTCAATGGCCTCTGGATGGCTTGTTCACGCTGGGGCCTCAGTGCTTCACAGCCCATCAGAATCTTGCACTGGGTCCCTCTGTGGGAAGTGCCGCTCCAGAGGACCCCCAAGGGATTCCAAGGGAAAGGGAATTTGGTGGACATTGGCAGAGGACAGGAAACTGTACACTGTACTTACAGGAACCAGCAAAACGACACGGGTGTTTGGTTTTCTATTTTTTCTCCTTGTTAGACTAAACCACAAGCACAGCTTTTCAGAGTAGTGAAGGTGCTGTCCCACCTCCCTTCCTCACTTCCCGTTAGCCACCGTCCCTATTTCCCAAGCAGGCTCTGGTCACCATTTCCTCATGGTCAGTTTTGCACCTGTTGGCTTCTGGCCTTGGTGGAAGAGATGTGCTTCTCACTTAGAACTGAAGGACTCCCGCCGCTCCCCAAAAGGACCGTCCAAGCATCCATACGGTTCATGGAGGGAGAGGAAATAAAAATAACGACATTTCCCAGCTCCATAAACGAAGGCCCTGTAGGTGCCAGAGAGGAACTGAAACAGGTGTGGCGCGTCAGGACGTCAGAGATGGACCTGTGCGCCTATCCAGAACTGGGCTGGGGACCGAAATAGATCCATGTGACCCCAGACAGCAGCCTCCACTGGCGCCCCTCAGGGCCCACCCAACAGTGGGAGCTTCGCTTCAATCAGCTTTCATACTTAGCTTTCAAAATTTAATAACTAAGTAATCAGCACTGTCAGGGTGGAAGCGCCTCCCAGTATGCACCAGGCCCAGGGCCGGCCCAGCGCCACATGGAAACCCTGTCCAAACGGTTCCACACTCCAGAAGACTTTTTTTTTTTCAATTTTTAGTTTTCAATGGGCCTTTATTTATTCATGTAGTGCTGCGAATTGAACCCAGTGCCTCACACATGCTAGGCAAGCACGCCACCACTGAGACACTACCCCAGCACCCGCATCAGAAGGTTTTTTAAGATAAATTAATACTTCTCTTTTTTTCTAGACCTTAACTGAAGTAAGAAATCTCAAGTTTCCACCACTGTTCATTCAAAAATATCCTCGGGAGGTATGTGTGATTCTCATCCCTTATTTTCTTAATCACATTTAGAACCTTAGCAGGGTCCTCGGTAGCAGTCGCTGTCAGTTTCTTCACCTCATGGAAGAGGAAGGCAGATCTCTGGAGAAGAGTGGGGCCCAGCCTCCTCCACTGGTCTCCTCAGAGGCCTTTCCTCTGGCTGCTGGTTCTGCTTTAGTGGATCTGTGAGAGAGCTCATAACTAGCTTTAAGAGAGAGACTGCTGGGCAGTGCTGGGGGCCTGGGTATAGCCACAGCCCCGGGGCAGACCTGTTGGGCAGGTTTTGCAGAATGGCCTTCAGAAGTGTCCTTCCTTTCCTAATGTCTGGCCTGCTGGCCTATCATTTTTAAAATTTGTACACTGGTAAATCTTGAATTTTCTTTTTTTTTTTTTAATTTTTTATTTTTTTATTGGTTGTTCACAACATTACAAAGCTCTTGACATATCATATTTCATACATTAGATTGAAGTGGGTTATGAACTCCCAATTTTACAATCTTGAATTTTCTTAAATAATAAGTTGAAGTAAATTGAACAGTGTGTGTTATCAAATAGGAAAAAATCAAACTTTATCTTTGAACATTATCATAAGTCCAATGGCAAAGCACTGCATAAAAGTGAACCTTATAATTCACTTAGGTACGCTGACTTAAAATTCAATGTTTGCAAAATGTAAAATAACAAATTTTATCAAAGTTGATGAATCTATTCTCAGGATGTTCCTAAGAACCTATGGTACATTTTAAAGGATTTAAGCCAGGCAGGGTGGCACACACCTGGAATCCCAGCTACCTGGGAAACTGAGGCTGGAGAATTGCAAGTTTGAGGCTGTCTCAAAACAGGGTAGGGTGGGGTGTGGCTCAGGACAGAGCTCTTGTCTAGCATGCACAGGGTTCAGGGCTTAGTCCCCAGTACAACAACAAAGACAGCAATTTAAAAAAACTCGAGAGACAGTGACGTGTCCTGACTCTTGGCATTTTAATTGAAATTTTTATTGAGGCATTGTAGATTCTCATGCAGTTGAAAGATGAATTCATTTTAGAAATTCGATGATGTCAGTCTTGAAGAATGATTTAAAACGCATTTATTTCATGTTAGAAAACTCAAAATTACCCTGAAAAGTTCACTTGCTGTCTAGGTTGCTTCTGGGTTCCTGGGGCAGGGCTGAGTGGTTGTGTCAGGAGTCGAGTGTCTCGCACACGGACAGCGTCACAGGAGGAGTGTGCGCCTGGCCAAGCACTGTCTGTGGGCTAGATGCAGCTGGGCACAGCACCTTCCTGGGCGCAGGCTCTGGGTCCAGTTCCCCCCACGGCTGTCCATCGGGGTTATCCAGCTTCCATGCCTGGCGTTGTATCACAGCAGTTTTGTATTTCAGTACGCGATGGTTGGGGACATGCTTTCTCCGACCCCTGTGGAACGGCCCGAGGCCACGGACATCATTGAAGACCCGGTGTTTGAGGACTTGGAGTTTCCAGGGAAGACTGTGCTCAGACAGCGGTCACGATCCCTGAGTTCCTCGGGACCCAAGTCCCCGCGGCAGCCCAGCAGTTAGCCCCGGCCACCCCTTCCACCATGGCAATGGCGGACTCAACTTGTGCTTCACTCCATTTTATTCTGGACTGCTCTTTCCAAGTCAGACTGGACTTACGCCGAGCCCACCCCGTGTTGGCAGTACCTGAGGAGGGGCTGTCTGCAGGCGTAGCTCCCTGTTCCCCACTGGCCTCCTGAAACTGGCCAGCGGAGCCTCCCAGGCCCGGCCTCCATCCCAGGAGGAAGCAGTCCCTCAGAGACAGAGAGCTTTGAGATGGGAATATTTTTATAATACAGAAGAAAACCTCCCCACTTTGTGGTAACTATATTGCTCTAGAAATATGCTTTCTAGGGATAGGGTGATTTTTGAGACTGACTTCTAAAAAGCTGACCCCACTGCTGTCCCTGTGGGTAAATGCGGGTTCCACACGTTGGGAGTCGAGTAGCACAAACTGCATAGCAGTGTATGTCTGTGACTTTGTGGTCCTGTTTGTAGCTGTGTCCTTAAATGGCTCTAGAGAAGGTCTAAGAGGTCTTTGTATTTTTACCTCCAAGAAAGGGAAAATGAAGCTTTTTATGTAAGCTGGTCAATTGGCTCGGGGAGGAGAAAAGCTCTGTAAGAAACGAATCATATATTCCAGGTCCTCCTTCCACTACGCACTAAGCCTGATCATGTCGCATATGTAATCTTTAGGTTCATTTCCCCGGACTGATTTTAGGTAAGTTTAATCGTCTTGCTTGTTAACATGTTTTTATTTTCCCTTTAAATGTCTATTTTTTATTTATAAAAATTCTGAAATCAATCCATTTGGGTTGGTGGTGTACAGAGCGCACATACGTGTGTTAACTATTGTGACTTCTTTCAAGTCTAAATGATTTAATAAAAAAATTTTAAATTACTTACACTTGGCTCTTATTTGGGGAGTCAGGCCACAGGGACAGATTTCCTAATGTGCAGGTTGGGGCCGTAGGTGTACACAGCCCTGCCATCAAGGAAGGCATCTTTTCCCCGATTTTCCAAAGACGTGGCAGGTCCTCACCCAGTTCACAGGGTTCATGACCAAGCAGCATCTGCAGTGCCCACCTGTGTCTGGACGTGTAGAGAGGACCCTGCTCTGGAGGGAGCCTCAGAGAAGGGCCGTGGCAACCCTTCTGTACCTAACTTGTTCATGGGTGTTTTTGGTACTAGGAATTGAACCCAGGAATGCTGCTCTGCTGAGCCATGTCCCCAGCCCTTCAGTTTCTTGAGACAGGGCTTCAATCAGTTGCCCAGGCTGGCTGTGAACTCCTTCCCCAGCCTCCTGAGCTGCTGGGATCTGCAGGTTGTGCAGGGCTTTTTATCCTGAAGGGATATTGCCTGTGTCTTGGGGATGTGACTAACGTGACTGTGGTGTCTGATCTTTTTGAGGTTCTGTTGAGTTCAGCTGCTGGTGTTTTGTTTTGCTTTGTTTTGTTTTTAAAGAGAGAGTGAGAGAGAGAGAGATTTTTATTTTTTAGTGTTCGGCGGACACAACATCTTATGTGGTGCTGAGGATCGAACCAGGCCGCACGCATGCCTGGCGAGCGCACTACTGCTTGAGCCACATTCCCAGCCCAGCTGCTGGTATTTTGCTGAGTTCTGCTTCTGTTCATCGGGGATCTCGGTCTGGAGTCTCTGTTTTGCTGTTTCCCTATCCGGTGTTGGCAATGGGACAGTGAGACCCTAGGGATTTGGAGGTGTCTGCCCTTCAGCTCTGGGAGCAGCGAGGAGCATGGTGTTCTTCCAGGGTCTGGTGGTCAGCAGCGGCAGCCCAGGGTCCTGGGCTCACCTCTAGTGGACTTCACGACTGGTCCAACTACCTGTTTGTTATTGGGCTCTTCTGGATTTTTTTTAATATGCTCTTAGTTCAGTTTTGGCATGTCATGTGTCCAAAATTTGCCTGTTTCTTCTAGATTGTCCAATTTGTTAGCAAAAAGGTTTTCAAAATAACCCTTAATGGTGCTCTTTGAATTTCTGTGGTATCAGTGGGGATGTTCCCTGATTCATCTCCAATTTTATTTACGATGTTCTTCCGTCTCTCTTTTCCGTTAGTCTAGCGAAAGGTTTCTTAGTTTTTAGCACCTTTTCACAGAAGCAATTCTCTGATTTATGGACTCTTCACATTGTTCTTTTAGCCTCTCTTTCATTGGCTTTTGCTCTGATCTTTATTACTCTTTCCTCCTACTAGTTCTGGGTTTGGTTTGCTTTTGCTTTTCTGAGACCTTGAAAGTCACCCTCAGCTTGTGTATTTGGAACTTACTGTTTTGATATGGGCACACGTTGCTATGTGTGGGGATCCAGAGGCTGGGGCTGGAGCTGGGCCACCATCTCCACAGGTGCTCGCGGGAGGGGATGTGGAGCACGGTGGGCTGTGGCTCCTGGGCTCAAGCATGTCCTGTTTCCATTTTCACTTGTTTCAAGGAGTTTTTAAATTTCCCTTCTGGTTTGCTCAGTGACTTGCTGTTGTGTGCTGTTCACTTTCCCTATGTTTGAGTAAATTCTAAAGTTGCTGTTGATTTTTAGTTTCATTCTTCAACATAGTAAGGGTGACCCGTAGCCAACATCACAGGGTGGGGAAAACTGAATTCATTGCCTCCAGGATCAAGAACAAGGCAAGCGGTCCCCTCTTGTTGCTCTTAGTATAGTACTGGAAATCCTAGGCAGATCAGTTAGGCAAAGAAAGAGATAAAGACAGACACACAGGAAAGGAGGGAGTCAAACTATCCCTGTTTGCAGATGATTCGACCTGATACCTGGAAAACCCTAAAGATTCCACCAGAAGACTCTTGGAACTGGTAAACAAATTCAGTAAAGCAGCATGATCCAAAATCAACATGCAGAACCCAATAGCTCTTCCATATACCAACAATGAACTTGCTGAGAAGGAAGCAAGAGAGCAATCCCACTTACAATAGCCACAGATAAAACAAAATACCTGGGAATAAACTGAGGAAGTGAAAGCTCTCTACAATGAAAACTACAAAACTGGAGAGAAATCGAAGCCCTCCGTGTTTACGGACTGGAAGAATTCAGAGTTAAAAGGTCCACTGTCTAAAGCAATTTGCAGATTCAACGCAATCCCCATCAAAATACTAAAGACATTCTCCAAAGGACTGGAGAAAGCGACCCTGAAGTTCATATGGAAGAATAAAAGACGCAGAATGGCCACAGTGAGCGGAGAGAACAAAGCTGGAGATACTATAGTACCCCATGTCCTGACAGTGAAGCCACGTGACAGAGTCGGCATGGCATGGACATACGCAGACACAGGCCAGGCGTGGTGTCGAACAGGTACACACAATCCCAGCGACTATGGAGGCTAAGGTAGGACAATTGCAAGTCGGAGCCCAACCTGATCATATCTCAAAAAGAGAAAAAGCTAGGCACAGGGGTGCACACACCTGTAATCCCAGCAGCTTAGGAGGCTGAGGCAGGAGGACTGAGTTCAAGGCCAGCCTCAGCAACTTAGTGAGGCTCTAAGCAATTCAGCGAGACCCTGTCTCTAAATAAAATACAAAAAAGGGATGGGGATGTGGCTCAGTGGTAGAGTGCCTCTAGGTTCAATGCTGGTACCGAAAAGAAAAAGAAACTGTCCCCCACAAAATGAAAACCCCAAACACATAAGTGATGGAACAGAATAGAGGAGACAGCAATAAACCCACAAAACTTTACCAATGAAGTCTCAGCAAGTGTGCCAAAAACCTACACGTGAGGCATGGCAGCCTTTTAACATACGGTGTGGGGAACACTGGGTGTCCACCTGCAAAACAAACCTGACCGCTGTCTCTTGCCCTGTACAAGAGTCGGCCAAAACAGAACAGAGATCGTAGTGCAAGACCTGGAACTGTGAAAACTACTAGGGGAACACGGGGACACTCCAAGACAGTGGCCCAGGCCACGGCTGCCTGAGTAGGGCTCCAACAGCACAGGAAATAAAGCAAGAATTGACAAACGAACTGACCACAGCAAACCGTAAAGCTTCTGCACACAAAAGAAATGATGGACACAGTGAAGAGAGATCCTGCAGCACGGAAGGTGGCTGCCAATCACCTGATGAGGGTTCCCATCCAGAATATGTAAAGAACTTCGAAAATTTAAGAATAAGTAGTCCAGTTTTTAAAATGGGCAAATAAGCAGCTGGGTCTGGGGCTCTGTGGTAGAGCGCTTGCCTGGCATGTGTGAGGTCCTCGGTTTAATTCTCAGCACCATATATAAATTTAAAAAAAACAAAGGTCTATTGACAACTAAAAAAATTTTTTTAAAAAAAGGAAAATGGGCAAATAATCTAAATAGACATTTCTTAAAAGAAGAAAATACAAATGGCCAATAAATATATGGAAAAATGCTCAATATCATTAGCCATTAGAGAAAAGCAAATCAAAACAATGATTGCCTAGTATTCTAGAGGCCCTGGGTTCCACCTCTAGTAATGAGAAGAAAATTATATATCTATTTGCATATGTATAAACAATATGTAAACTACAAGGTGATACCACCTCACCTCAGAGTGGCCATTACATTACAAAAACAAGCCAGTGCTGCCCAGGATGCAGAGAGAGACACATTCACTGGTGGGAATGTCAGGGTAGCCTCTGTGGAAGGTAATATGGAGGTTTCTCATAAAACAAAGACAGAACTAACATATGATTCAACTGTACACTCCCAGGTATTTATCTGAAGGAAATACAAGAGATAACTGCATGGCTATGGTTGTCGCATGATTCGCAATAACTAAGATATGAAATCAGCCCAGGTACCTGTCCATAGATGATGGATATAGCAAATATGGTACACATAATGGAATATTATGCAGCCTTAAAGAAGAATGAAATCCTGTTAGCTGTAAGAAAAAAGGTGGATCTGGAGGTCATTATGTATAATAAGCCAGACACAGAAAAACAAGTTCTGTACATTCAGTTGCATATGTGAAAACAAGAAAGGAAGAAAGGAAAGGAAAGGGGAAAGGAGAAAGGCCAACCTGAAAATTGAACAGTGTGATTATGAGGGACTGGGAAGGGGAGAGGGCAGGATAGAAAGGTGGATGGACGTGATCTACACAGAAACTGCTTGTGTATGCAAATATCACAGTGACTCCACTAATTTCATTAATCAGAAAGTGAAAAAATAAAGAGCTAAACAAACAAAATCTAGAAAACATTGTGTAATTAAGTTTTTTAAAAGAATGTCGTGCTGGATGCAGTGGTGCAGCTTGTAATCCCAGCTACTTGGTAGGAGGCTGAGGCAGGAGGATCACTAGTTAAAGGCCAGCCTGGGCTACTAGTGAGACCCCGTCTCAAAAAATAAAGGGCCTGGGGCACAGCGCAGTGGTAGCGCAGCCTGGGATCAATCCTCTGCGGAAGGAAGAAGAATCCCGATGCCAAACGCAGATAAAAGCCTCAGATCCCAGACACCTTCTCCAGGAAGGACATCCGGCTCAGACCCAGTGGGCACCGCCTGGCTCAGTGCGCAGTGGCGCCCTGGTGGGGGCACTCACCTACCCCACAGACCACATCCTGCACTGCCTGGCCAGGTCCCCGAGACCCCGGTGAGCTGCCGATGGCTCGGTGGCCTCCCAGCCACCCCTTCCTGGGAAGGCATCCAACAAGCGCAGTTTGGGGCCATTTTCCCTGAGGGAGTGGACAGAACCACCGGCCCCAGCACTTCTCCGGGGAGGGGGCTCCAAGCTGCCCCTCAGGGGAGCTTGCCTCTCAGGGGAGCATCTGAGATCCCTTAAGGAGGACTCCCCTGTGAGTCTACCCCAGCAACTGCCGTGCCTGCCACCAGGTGGCTCACGCTCACCTTTCCTTCAAGAAGCGGGCAGACAGTGGGCTCTCGGCGCCCTGACCCCCTGCGTCCAGCACGCCTACAGCGACTGACCTGAGCC